ATATAGCGTTTGTTATAGAGCGATTATTGATAATAAGTGTATCGTAAAGTTGTATACGGAAAGAATAAACCAGTTTTATTAAGTAAGGCCCTGTGTCGCTAAAGTTTCGTCGGAACGAAGTTACGGAAAATCAATTAACAAACGGAGACGTAACAATAGTGTCTTAAATAAACATACGCTGACGTAATCATAATATTAATATGATTTAAAAAGGTTAAAATGTAAAAGTAAATGAAGAAAGTAAAGTGTATTTAATTAGAGATGCTTGAACAATCAGCATAAGTCAAAATATTAAAATGTGAATATAAAGTTGTGGTAATCCCATGTTAGACCAAGACTACAGCTAACTGATCTCCGCAACAATATGGGTTTGAAAACTTACTGTGTGGATGGACAGGTGCAGAGATTTGTAATAAAACAGACAGGACCCTGTGTTGCAGTCGGAATAAAAGTGAGACTTATTTGCTAAAGAAAGAAAGTTAAGATAAAAGGATAATTGTCGAATTTGTAAGACTATTGTGAATGAAAAGTTAAAATGTAAAACTAAACAAAGTAAATTTTAGTTAAATAAAGATGGTTGCACGATCAGCAGATGTTAAAAGATTAAAATATTAGTAAGACTTCTTTTAAAACTTTTGACTGTCTCAGACATGAGTCTGCTCTTCTCATGATTGAAAATAATCTGTCTGAGACGTACCAAAACTGCTTTCCGAAACACCTCTACTTCATCTGCAACTCATAAAGCAATCCTCTATACACAAGATAAAGAAAGATACAATAGAACTAGCCCATGAATTGTTGTTTGTTTTAGCGCAAAGCTACAATAGGCTATCTGTGCTGTTTTCACCACAGGGAATCGAACCTTGAATTTTAAAGAGGTAAATTCAAAACCTTACTGTTGACCCACTGAGGGACTTGTCCCACGAAACAGTAGATAAGGTAATTGACCGAATTTGCTGGAGGGTAAATTTCAAGTTGGCCATCCAAGCACCGATGCACTAGAATCTATAAAACTCCATTTGTGTACATGGGGTTACTGTGACTTCTTTGTTCCTGGGGTTGATGTGGCCAACATTGGATACTTTTATTACATAATATCAGTTTGCCAGTTGCATGGTGAAAATTGACTGATAAACTTCACATTCCAAGGATGTTATTGCCAGAACTAGTGTAATTGACAACTTCATTCATGGTACAAAAAATCTCCTAAACATAGTAGGAGCATGAAGCTTTTATTCTGATCTAGTCTATCTTCATTTCCCATGATGAACTTTGTGTAAACTGGCCTAAGTGATGGTTTCAATCTAAAATTGACATACCATGAGAACTACCAGTATTTTATCCATTCCTGTATCAGTCACCAAGTCCGAATTAGGCTACTCTAGTTCCCAGAACTGAAGCAGCAGTATTTATCTTTATTTATTCACTTGCATGCAAGAGAATCAATAAAGATAAATACAATGTTAAAAATTTAATAAACCTAATACTAATGTCTTATGACAAGTATAATTAATTATGATCATTGCTTTTCTTTGATAGATTGTTTAAGCAGAGTATTCATGATGAAACTTTGTAGAATGGACGACAACTGCCCGTTGTAGAGACAGAAGCGTAGAGGACGACGTTTCGAAAGTCTTCCAACCTGAAGACGAAAGGCGGAAAATTTTCGAAACGTCGTCCTCTACACTTGTGTCTCTACAACAGGCAGTTGCTGTCCATTCTACAAAGTTTCATCAGCAATTATGATCATGCTTCGCTAGCTTGGAGAAAGCGTTCATACCATAACAATTGTTTTTGTAACAAATAGCTCATATAAATAGAATTCGGACTCTGACTATTACTATATTTTAGCGTTGTAAGTCCGTAAACTTACACTGTTCCATCGGAGGACTGGACTATATAAAGAATGAAGTGTTATAAAATATAAGAGAAATTAGTCACTGTTCCAACTACTACAAGAAGAAGACAGGCAATAAACCAAACTTTCTAATAATTATAAAATAAGGAACGCTAAGTAGCTGTAAGATTTTAGTATATATTGTAGATGTAATATATTTATATGTTTAAAAACAATAAAATTATTCTATTATGCATATATATTTTGCCAAAATCTAAAGCTCTGATAATTTTCCACTACTAGGTGCCGCCTAAGACGATACAGGTTGACGACCACATTATTATTAAATATGTTAATCAGTAAAATTTAAGAAGAAATGTGGAATTACGATATTTTGTGTACGTTGTACATGAAATAATAATTGAAGAAATTTGATAACATTGAACATGTGTATATTATTTTTGTAGAGATTCTTTTACTTCTTAAAGGCTTGGTTAGAGGAGGGATTAACCTATAGGTAGGCCTTCTTTACTTTTTTACAATCCATAGAAATTTCACTTCAGTTTCAGGGTAATACTAATACTTTGCCATTTTCTGTATTTTTAAACTAGCCACACAGTTACATAATCCAGTGTGTTACATTTAAATCCATGATATTCAGTTGCCAAAAAATGTTACAATCCCAATATTTTCAGGCTTTCTGTATAACTGTAACTTATATTTATAACAAGTATAATTCAACTTTCAAACCAGTGAATCCTCTAGGATTTGGAATTGTAAGATACTATCCATTCATCAAAGATTCACTTGTTCCACTCAATACAAATTACTATAGTCTTAAATGTAGCCACAACTATGTATGTATGTGTATCCAATAAGTTTAAAGAATTTTGAATTGATCTTAAGCACACATCCTTGTTATCTAACAAACTGTTCCAGTAGCTTAAAACTCCAATAGGGAGATATATTCCCATCAAGTCAAATGATCTTCAGCTTCAGAAAAAAATAAAAATAAATTGACACTTTGATCACAAGCTTATGTTGAAGTTTCTACGTGTGAAAATTAAAATAAAAAGGCCTTTTCTATTGTACTATACATTCTCATAAGTTTGTAAAGAAATTGTATCCTGTGTTTTGTGTTACTGTTACTCAAAGTACTGTTTTTGTTTGTATACAATTTAGTGGTTACATCTATGAAGTAACGTTACAGGAACATTAACCAATCAGAATGTGGAACCGACTAAGTCAAGTTGCAGGACTTGGTCAGGCTGAACCAGACCTACAACAGGTAAGAATCAAAGTGTAATTCTGATAGGGGAGGAAAGTAGTTAGAGAGTATATTATATGGCAGCTTAGTATGTAAAGATATGCATCTACATGTTAATTAGAAAGTCTTTCTACTCACAACATCAAATAGTTTTAGATTTTGGTATGAGAAATAACATAACATAATATTTTGGGACAACATGGGACCTATTGGTCCATCTCTGTTATTCCTTACTCGAAACTAAATTAAAATGATTTAAAAAAAATTTAAACCCAG